AAATCGGTACTTGATTTAGGCTTACCTCCAAATCTTTCAACAGCCCCTTCAGGTCAAGTCCCCGTTTAGCTGCATCCCAATAACGGTATGCCCGGATGTCCTTAAACCCCGCATCAAGAAATACAGCGTTATGGTTTTCTGTATCAGGGATGAAGAGAGAAAAAAAAAAAAAATGTAAAAGATATATACAGAAAATCAACACAAAGCATAAAATCTGCTGCAAAGAAAAAAGTAACTTCAAAGCAAAGAGAAATGATCCCAGCTCTGCACCGCATTGTAAAATGGGAAAACCCATATGATCAGTGATCAGCAAAATACAAAAACGTTATGGAACCTTCCATCGTACTCCATAGGGATGCACCGATACTAGTATCAATATTAATGCCGATACAGAGTAGTTGGGCGAGTACTCGTACTCTCATGACGAGGGAGCATGGAGCCGGCCAATCAGAAAGCAGGGCGCCGCGTGATTACACGGCGCCCGGCTTACATGATTGGCTGGCAAGATGGGTCCGGCTGAAATCAGGAAGCCGGGTGGCGAGTCATTACACGCTGCCGGCTAATCAGGAAGCCGGGTGGCGAGTCATTACACGCTGCCGGCTAATCAGGAAGCCGGGTGGCGAGTCATTACACGCTGCCGGCTAATCAGGAAGCCCCCTCCCCGCCGCGTTTTCTCATTCCACTGCAGTGCAATCAGGTACAGGCCTACATGAAAGTGACAACACTGCTCTGAATTAAGGAGCAGTGCAACATCACTGCCATCCCATCACAGGAAGCTGCATTAGGTGGACTTCCCCCGGGCAGGAGCAACAGGAATTTGTAAGACTCTCCAGGGGGGACGAAGAAAAAACAAAGTACTGTAGCACATGTTAGTGTCAGGCCATAGGTTCGCCTTGCTCTGCGTTACCCCATAACAAGTTCACATTAGATTTACTGACTCACAAAGTTCTCCAAAGCTACCTTACTAGCAGCAGAGCTTGTGCTTCGTTTCATAACGAGAGAGGAGATCTAAAAAAGACAAAGTCTCACCCCACGAGGGTGAAGAGATGTAGATCGGGGTTGCAGTATTATTGGTTCCATTGTACCAGCGCCTCAAGAACTCCGCTCCAATGCGCAGAGCTCCTGTCCCACCAAGGGACTGCACACCACCGACCTGTAGAAGGAAACAAAAAACAGACAGACAGCCGAGTTAGAAAAAGAAAACAAATAGAAAAAACTAAAAAGGACAGACTTAATAAAAAGACTTGCGTGCATGTGTAAGGTTCCCAAGTTAGTTTATAGCAGGACACTGGAGGCAGTAGATGTGGACAGGTGCTGCCATCTCCCTCAAACAGGGGTAGCCAAACTCTGGCCCTCCATACTGTGGTGATACTACAAATCCCATGATGCATCTCTCTCCGGGAGTCATGGCTGTGAGAATCTTGCAATGCCTCATGGGATTTGTAGTTCTACCACAGTTGGAGGGCCAGAGTTTGGCTACCCCTGCCCTAAAACATGGTCCTAGTGCATCCTGGGGGCCCCAAACAGGAATACCAATTGGAAGCCCGAGTACACCTTCACTCACCCTATCTCATGGGAATTTGTTCAGCTTCTTACGATTGCTAAGGCGATGCGAGTACCTTATGGCTATTCCCCACCTTTCAGGAAGTCAGTATTTGCTAAGAAAGTCAGGAGGCTTCTGGGGCACATTTGGGAACATAAAAAAGGCTTAAAAGACCCAATTTTGTTAGTGCACCAAGCGCGCACGTTTACGTGGTGGGTGGCCAACCTTTGGTGTCTTCCAAACCTTTGAGGAGTAATAACGTGATTAGGAGGAATAAGGAGAACATAAAATAGAAGGTTACCCTATCTTCCTTGAAGGCAGGACTGTCCTCACCCAGAGCGATCCTGGAGGAGCTGGAGCGGAATTCTGGAAGTCCGAGAATCGGCAGGTACTCGTGGTTTAATGACTGGTCATTGGCTATCTTCTGCTCCACCTTCTTCACCACAGGCAGGACCCAGGGCTGAGAGTCATCTGTACGGTATGCTGGACACAAAATAGACAAAAAGGTTATACAAGCAGCAGTCCCGGGTTACGAACAGGATAGGGATTAAAGGTTTGTTCTGAAAAGGAGAACTATGAGGTGAGTGCTTTTCACTCACCTCCTAGTTCTAGCTGACCTGTGACAATGAGACTGTCACAGGTCGGCTCAGTAGATCGGGAGGTGAGCGAACACATAACGGCGTTCCGCTCACCTCTCGATCCTGTCACAGCTCTCTGCCGTGACAGGGGAGGGGCTGGATTCCCCCTTCCGATCCGCCAGCGCTGACTGGCGGAACGAACGGGGGAGGGGGCGGGTACACCTGGCTCTGCCTCTAGATAGGCAGAGCCAGCTGTCAGTCACGCAGCTGGGCAGATCCCATCACAATTGTCGGGACCCGCTTCAGCGTCTCAGTATACCGCGAGCAGCAGCTCGCGGTATACTGAGCTTAGGGTGACGGGAGGACGCTAGTTTGTGTCCTCCCGTTACACCTAACGAGAACTATGGGGAAAAGCCCTAACCCCATAGTTCTCCTTTAAGTTGAATTTTAATTTGGAACTGGTACATTTTTTAAATGCAAGTTCAGCCAAAAAAAGTTTTGGATAGCTTAGGGAAAGGTTAACCACCTGTAATGTTTGTTTTGCTGTGTGTGCAGAATGACCTATCCTGAGCCTGGAGGGGACCACGTGTGGCCCCGAAAGCGCTAGTTTTTGAATGGCGATGTTCCTTCAATAAACTGACTTTTGCTTATTTCATTGAACCATTGGCGTGCTGGTGATAGGTCTATAAATTTGCACGGTGCCATCCGTGGTCGCTGCAAGTACCCACCTGTATATCAGGTATTTCTATCCGGTAAGCAGTGCAACAAGATACTTGTTCTACCTGTTCAGAAGATTTCACCTCACTTTTTGTCCATGTGACAATTGGATTTTGAACATTTTGGGTTGTCGTGGAAACATGGGATTGGTGATAAAGCTTCAGTGGAGACTCCTTTTTCCCCATGATAACTCTTACTGAAGTGAATTTCCCTTCCTAGGGGTAGATTTCCTCCCACTTCCTGTTGTCTTAAGGACAGGAAGTGAGATTAAATCTTTCTAATGAGGATACAGACGGCAGTAAAAAGCTCACAGTGACCCGGAAGATGAGGCGGGCACCCCTCGTCTGCACGTCTAACAAGAGCCAACTTCCTGTAATGTACGTACAGTACTACAAACCAGACCCAAAGAGGCGGGCACTCCTCAGCATGAGCGCGTAGCATTACAACTAGCCTCTGTTTGTAAATAGGAGTCGAATGTATGTAACTCGGGGACTGCCTGTAATGGAGAAGAAAACAATCTGTCTGCGGTGTGCAATGTTCTAACCTGTGACCTATCAGAAATGTCCTCACCACTAACATTGAGAATGTCACTGCTGAGATCTGCTGATGATCAAAGATCAACTTTATTACAGGCAGAAATCCAAAGTACGTAAGCTACAAAGTTCCAAAGCCCGGTGCAACCTTGAAGAACATTGCACAACCCGCCCTGATGGAAAACACATTTATTATAGCGGACTCGTCTGCTTAGATGAAAGGGTTGGTCCAGCCAATCACTAATCTTTTAGATCTCTCAGTATTGAGATAAATGTCAGCAAGTTGAATCACCCACCAGACAGTCAGATCTCCCGGGAAATACAGTGCTAAGGTCTTCCACTTCCCCATCACCCTGAGCAGCCAAGGACACCGATAGGAATCTCCATACGTTCCCTATAAAAGCATTGCTCAGCACGACTTCCAAAAAGGAGAACCAATGGCTGAAGTCCATTAGATTAGAGCTGCAGCGAACGATTATTTTCAAAATCGGTTAGCCGATTATTACGTTCGATTAATCGGATAAAAAAGATAAAATAAAATACATTTTTTTAAATGGCTCCAGTTATGGTACTACTAGTTTGTATTGAGATTGCAGTCCATCGCAGGAGTAAGCTTGGAGCGGTGGAAGGAAAAAACCAAAAAACTGTGGCGTGCAATATAGTGAATGAAAATTATACAGCAATGAATGCAGAATGGCATCGGCTATAGAGGACTACAAAGCCCAGCAATAGTGCATTATACAGCACAATGCAGAATACCGCCAGCTATAGAGGAATACAACAAATCCCAGCAATAGTGCATTATAGCTGGCGGTATTCTGCCGTATAATGTACTATTGCTGGGTTTTGTAGTCCTCTCTAGCTGGTGGTATTCCACATTGCACCACTGTATAATGTATTATTGCTGGGATTTGTTGTATTCCTCTATAGCTGGTGGTATTCTGCATTGCTCTGTATAATTCCTTGATTTGTAGTCCCCTATACAGCGCACTGCAGAATACCACCAGCTATAGAGGAATACAACAAATCCCAGCAATACATTATACATACAGTTACATAGTTACATAGTATTTGAGGTTGAATAAAGACATTAGTCCATCAAGTCCAACCTATTAGGATCTCATTCTAGGAGTACCTGTACCCCTGTATATTGCGGTCCCTTAAGAAATATCGTACAAAAGTTTCTTGAACAATTCCACATTCTTTGCTGAAATCACCGCCTGTGGCAGTGAGTTCCAGACCCTAACTGATCTTACTGTGAAGAACCCCCTTCGCCCCTTGTGCTGGAATTTTTTTTCCACCAATTTTAGGTGATGGCCTCTAGTTTTTGTAACGGAGTTAATTTTAAATAGTTTATCGCCAATGTTGCTGCCACCATTAAACATTTTGTACATTGAAATCATATCCCCCCTTATTCTCCTCACCTCCAATGTGAACAGTGTATAATATACAGCACAATGTACCATCAGCTATAGAGGAATACAAATCCCAGCAATACATTATAGAGCACCGTGTGTGGGAAAGTGCAGGCTTACCTGAGCAGTCTTCCAGCAACTTGTTTCTGAGATCGGGCCTGTCTATCGGCGATTGTCATCACCCCACACCTGCTCCTCCTTACTTCTTATCCCCGCGTTCCTGTGCCGATCGTGGATGCGGGCGGTGAGCGTGAGGCAGGGAAGAGGTGCGGCGTGTGGATGCAGGTGGGCGGGTCTGGCAGCCGCAAGCGTGGGGTGGGGAGGAGGAGGTGTGGAGCCGTGAACAGGGCCAACCAATCGGAAGCTGATTAAATCGATGATTGAAAAAAATTGACAACTTTTGCAATAATCAATTATAATCGATTATATCGATTAGTTGTTGCAGCCCTACATTAGATCAGTGATTCTCATTCTGTGTAACCTCAGGACCCACATTTGTTTTTAGACATTAAGTGGCGAGCCAAGTCGCACTGCAATGGAACGCACGGCACTGCGGTACCGTGCATTCCGGTGCGGGCGATCCGTGCGATCCTCAGCTTGGGGTCCAGTGCTGGGCTTCTGTGCTGTGATGAAGCTCCATCCTTATGTGCATTGCTTGTACAACTGCCTTGTGTGGCCTGTAGAGACCCGCTAGAAGCCAGAATGTGACATCACTCCGGTCCAGGCACCTCTACGGGTCTCGTGAGGGAGCTGTAAGCAATCCATGTATGGATGAGCTCTTTCACGGCCATAGCTCCAGCCCACCCCACCTCAAGCTGACACTTGGCGCCAGGCAGCAAATTCTGAATGGCTGCTGTGCTAGTGCAAAGCTGAGGAGCCGCTCACTTAGAAAAAGGGAAGGCACGCGTCGACCCAATGAAAACGAGATCGCGACCCACTTTTGGGTCACGACCCACCAGTTGAGAACCAAGGCATTAGATAAAAAGGATTACGCTTACTATAAAACACATTTCCAACAATCCTCCATGACAGCCCTCAAGCAATTATCTCCCTGTAATAAAAAAAATTAGGCATAATCTTATATTTTTGGATAGAATGAAAAGGGATTAGAATCCCTGCCCGGTCTCCGTGTCCCCATTAGGCAGAATCACCCTCTCTAAAGGCTGTGACACACTGCGCGCGAAGCAGCGCGGAACGGTGGCGCGCTGCCTTCGCGAGCAGTGCGTCATGTAACTTTCTCCCCGACACGTCAGCTTGCGAGAGCTCGCCTAGCTGAGCGTGCCGAGATGAAAAACGTCATCTTCAGAAACCTGCACGTCAGGATGAGACGTCTGGACGGTTGTTACGCACGAGCCGATTGGCTGAAGATGCAGCCAGTCAATCATCTGCCTGCACTCAGAGCTCCGTGCCAGACAGCTTTGCTTCGCTCTGCGCGGCTTTGCTTGACTGATTTGGTGCAGTGATGCATGGGGGGCGTCTTAGCTGCTTATATGTGCCTGTGCCTTTAAGGGAGGTTGGGCTTCCTCCTGACAAACCTGCACCCAATCTGATCTTTTGCCATATGTGCTCCAAGATGGAGACTCATAATTTAGAGTTAGGACCGCACTATGTAGAGGTGCTTTGGCGCGGCTTTCACATTTTCTGCAGAAGACGTGTATCCAAGCCTCTGTTTTTAACCTTAGCGGTCAGACAAGTTTTTTTGCATGCTGGCTGGTGAGTGTGCTGGGAAACTTTTTGCTATTTTGCATGCCACGGGCTTAAAACTAGCCATACACCTATAGATTATCTGCAGATTTTCTATGGTCAGATGGAAAAAGTGTAACAGATTCCCCCATCTACGCTAAACTGTGTGTATGGAGTAATCTCCCACTGGGCCGAGCTTCAGTATATTGCTAGTCGGCCCCGCTGGCTCTCAAAATACCTGAACAGTCTGATTGGATGCCGGCATCGTTCAGGTGTATCGACTAGAAAGATCTTTATTTTAGGACCCTAGACCAAAATCAGCATTTAACCCTCGCAGTGCAGGGGGTCGCCCCACTACAAAGGTAGGTTTTTTTAGATTCCTCTTTTATTAGAAACATTTCAGAAATGCTTTTTCACCAGAATACATCATTGATTGAACCCAGACGGTACTTCTAACAGACTGGACCGCCATCGGGGGCATTCAGGAGATCAATGATGAGCTCGGATTAACAAAAGCTCAGGTGAACAAAGTCACAAACCAGAGCTGCCCAATACAGTCCATAGACATACCACCGATGCAGACAGAGCACATTTGTGCAATTATAGAGATTTGTAACAGAGTTGTAGGTGTGAGAGCTTCAGAAGCAGAGAAGGTCATCACATGCTTTGCCGGATGCTGATTGGTGAACAGGGAGCCGCCGATGGTTACACAATCAGATCACACATGGATAAGCATAACTCAAGCTGACTGCACTGGGTCACACAAGGGCTGGATAATAGCACGGCACCAGATGCTACGCCACATCTTTGATCTTAAAAGGAGTGGTAAAGTCCCAGCACATCCCCTCCTGTTATATCATCTGCATTGTAATAGGAATACATACCGGAGGTGTTTCTGATAATACAATTAAAGCTAACATGGAAACAAAATATTCCTTTTCTGCCTTCCGTCAACTTCCTGGATCCCCAGTGTGCTTTGCCATCTCCATTTCTCAAGACTACATCTCCCATCATGCATTGCTTCCAGCAAGCAATGATAATGTTACATTGTTCAGATGTTGAGTTGTAGTTCAGAAGGCAAGCTCTGTGACAGTGACATTATTGAGTGAAATGGTGTCAGCGCATTGAGGCAGTCCATCTCATGGGCATCTTCAATAAGAATCTTCTAGATGGATCTGGTTATTAGGAGCGGGATGGAACTTATGGAAATTCAATATAGAAATACAGATTTATTTTTAGATGCCCTTTAATGTCCGTCTTAAGGTGGCCATACACTCTACAACCATCGCAAGACCTTAGGTCTTGCGATGGTTGTAAAGTAATTTAAAAAACATACGATCTGCCCATCTTGGACAGGCAGATCGTACTTGCGATCATCGCAAGCCCGCCACGCTGAGGGGCGGGCTTTCTGATGGCCACAATGGTGAACGGGCAGTGTGCGCACACCGGCCCGTTCGGCATTTGTCTCCCGAGCATGCCACAAACCAGCCGAAAATCGTAAGATTTTCGGCTGGTTTTTGAACATGCTCCTTAGACAAAAGACGTGCGACCGTACAGTAAAGACGGTCGCACGCCTTCCTTACACTTTGCGATTATCGTACGATCGCGGGATTTCCTGCGATTATCGCACAGTTTATGGCATCTTTACACAGACGCAGTGAGGGGAATTTTTCAAAACTGGAGCAGACAAAATCTGGAGCAGCTGCGCACGGCAACCAATCAGCTTCTCTTTCTTTTTTAAATCTTAACTGAAGAATCTTGAGAGAGAAGCTGATTGGTTGCCGTGCACAGCTGCTCCAGTTGTGATAATTCCCCCCATTGTAATTTATACCGGTAACACTTCACAGCAACGTTGCAATGTCCAGTTGTGTCGCTCACGCACATTTCTGTATTTGCTCCAAGGAACTGAGCGACACTCCGTGTAAAGTGCTTCCTCAGCAGACTCGGCTCACATGTTCTTCTGTCTGAGGACATTTCGATGACCCGGGCTGCTGGTGAGAGGGCTCAGCGGTCGCCCATTATCACTAGAGGGCTGAAAATCTGCACTGCACACCCAGCCGCTTTCCTGTTCTGTCATTTTGTGCGTTTCAGCAAAATTCTACACGGTCGCGTGTTCTTCCTGTCCAATCCTCCATTCTTCTGTTCACTGCAACATGTCACATCAGCCATAAGGAATGACTGTGGAGTGTCTGGATGGATGAGCACAGGTGGCAGGTCGCCAATGCTCCTTAAAAATGACAGTCGGCGCCTATCTTTTGAGGATTTCTCTAGTTCTTGTCCATGGAGATGGCTCTTAGAGAACTATGGGGTTAGGGCTTTTCCCCATAGTTCTCCCCAGGGTCACGGGAGGACACAAACTAGCATCCTCCCGTCACCCAAAGCTCAGTATATTGGAAGCTACAGCTCGCTGTATACTAAGACGCTGCAGCCGGGACGGATCCTGACATTACTGTCTGGATCCGCCCAGCTGCGTGAGTGACAGCTGGCTCTGCCTATCTAGAGGCTGAGCCAGCTGTATCCGCCCCCTCCCGTTCCTCCAGTCAGCGCTGGAGGAACGGACATGAGAGGGGGGGGATCCCTGCAGGGAGCCGTAAGTGACCGTCACCACTCTCTGCAGGAAGAGGATCGAGAAGTGAGCGAGTAACGATATGTGTTGGTTCACTTCCCGATCTATTGAGCCGACGTGTGACAGTTTGTCACACGTCGGCTAGAAATATGAGGCTGAGTGATTTTCACTGACCTCATGGCTCTCCTCTTAAAAAGACTCCCATTGGCTCTTGCATTGGCCAGACTTGCTCCTGAACTCCATATTCATGTGTGCACGTCTGGGTTAGTAGCAGGATGGTGCGTAGGTTGCATGTCCCCAGAGGCCCTTTTATTACCAATATAATGCTATGTACATGTATTAGAATAGAAGGTGCTGTAATAGTGCACACAGCAAGAACAAAGCAGATATGTCTAATACAGAGGCATAACTACACATCACAAGGGGCCCATAGCTAAAATGTGATGGGGGTCCCCTGATGACTGGTCTCAGAAGTGCCAAAGACTCCTCTTGTGCATCAGCTTTCCTACACTGTAGACTTTACAGAAGATTAGGGTGTCATCAACCCTAAATTATACAGTGCTGTCTTCACATGTTCTATGTTTAGTTTGGATCAACAACCTAACGGGGCCCCTTACACCCCAGGACCATAGCAGCCGCCTAGTTAACCCCTTGGTGGTGGCACCAAACAGCCCTTTAAAAAAAGGAGGCACAACAGGAGGTAGACTCTGATCATGTGACTACTGTCACATGACCAGGACCCCATCCTACTGGATACTGATCATAAACCGTAACCAGGGGCAGTCAGTGATGGCTCGGTCAGTGTGCTGGGAGCGTACACTCGCCACAGAACAGTGGTTCAGCTGATGCGTACGGACGGCGTTAGGGCCCACCCGACAGGTGACACATATTACATTTTTGTTCTTGGGTTTAGATACATTTTTAAAAGACAATGGGGGGAATTTATCAAAACTGGAGCAGACAGAACTTGTGGCAGTTGCCGATGGCAACTAATCAGCTTCTATCTTTCATTATGAAATCTTAACAGAACAAACTGAAGAGAGATGCTGATTAGTTGCCCTGAGCAAATGCTCAAATTTTGATAAATTCCCCTCAATATGACTTGGTAAGCCGTTCTAGAAAACAGAATCCCCATTGCAGAGGCGATCAATGTTCAGTATTCAGCACCTTGGTGTTCAGTCTCTCTAGCTCTGGCTGGAGGATGGTCCTGGCTTGTGACTGACAGATGTCATGACAACCTCATCCCTTCTGACTCCCTAGTTAGAGTCAAGCTCATCTAGGACTACACTTCCCAGCATACCCTGGGTAGCCCATGCCTGCCAGGTCATGATGGGACTTGTAGTGTGGCCCTAGCAGGAGGCCGGCCAATGCCTGAGCCGCCTCACTCACCTCCCACTCCCAAGTTGACCTTGCGAGTGTCGCTGTCTGCACGGAAGTCTGCGGTGAGCTTGAAGACCGCTACTGGCGGGGCCTGAGGCACGGAGGCGAAGATGGAGGAAGCCATTGGAAGGACACCGAGCTATGACACCAGCTGAGAGCACACTGCTGCCTTCACCTTAACCTTCACCGGCTTAATACGTGGGGCGGAGACAACGACAGCCAATCACACCCCGGGAACCTGACAACGCCTGTCAACGTGATAGCGTCACTCGGCTGAGACAGAGCGAGCTGTCGGAAAGGTCCAATCAAACAAGAGAACGCAAATGAGCGGCCCTGGAACAAGACGGCATTGGCTAAACTAGAGAGAGGCGTGTTAGACGGGGCGTGGTTGTGGCGGAGTGACGTCATTAACGCGTGCGACTGTGTCCCTTGACCACCAGAAGCGGAGGGTGGTCAGGGGGTGTAAGGGCAGAAATGATCGTTAGAGGCCACGGTGGCCTGCAGGAGCATGCAGTCTGATATGTGTCACCTAGGCTGAGAGATTCTGGCTGGGCCTGGACCACAATGTGTGTTTAATGTGTACAAATTACTTGTTGAAAAATAAAAGATGACTTTAGGAAAGTTTTTTTGTCATTATATATATGTACACACAGGCTACTACTACAAGGCACTGCCACCTACTGGAATGGCAGGTAGATGAGAGCCAGGTGCACTGCCAGTGAGGGGAATATATCAAAACTGGAGCAGGCAGGGTCTGGAGCAGTTGCCCATGGCAATCAATCAGCTTCTATATTTCCTTCAACAAACTGAAGAGAGATTGGTTGCCATGAGCAACTGCTCCAGATTGTGTCTGCTCCACTTTTGATAAATTGACCTGCCTGCCACCTACAGGCACTGTCAGTGTCATCAAAACGGTGTGTGCACCTGGCTCGCATCTATCCACCCTTACAAAAACTTCAATTATTCCCATGCAGTGTGAATTGTAGTGAATGGGCGTCAACTTGGGTGGGATTGGGGGCGGGTACGTTGCGGATGTAAACATTAGGAATATATGGCCATACATGTACTCTGCGCTTGCTGCTTATTTACATAGCCCACCAATCACAGTCATGACGGGCTATGACAGACCCGAAGGGTCCTAATGGGAGGCGGGGCAGACAAGGAGTTCCCCAGGCCTGTCAATCAAACAAAGTAGTTTAGACTGGGAGCCTAAAGCCGCCCGGGTCCGCTTACAGCAAGTGGAGATGTAGTTACGTCAAATAAATAGAAGGGGGTCTTACAAGACTATTGGCCGGGGGGGATAGGGGGCACAGGGGTGGAACAGAAAGTTCTCTCTCAGGTCCACTCCTCTGCTTAGTGGGCGTGTGCATCGAGCATACCCCTATGGTAACAATACATTTTCCTGTATAAATAGTCGCTCCTTCTGACTGCCTACCCCTCTATATAAACAATAGCCAGCCTGCTATTGGCTACTGCAGTTTGCATTAGCCAATAGCAGGCTGGCTATTGCTCCCCGTTGTTTACATTCTGATGCCCAACCGCGGAATCTAGTTGCCAGCTGGCAGCAAGATGTAAGCACACAATTTCATTTGCAACTATTATTATATAGGATTTATATAGCGCCAACAGTTTGCACAGCGCTTTACAATATAAGGAAGACATTACAATCACAATACAATTCAAGGCAAGATGGTAAGGAGGGCCCACAATCTAACGGGAGGGGGAAGTGATACATGAAGAGGTAGCTGTGTGGGACTGAATTGGTTGAAAAAGTGATAGTTCAGTGGTTAGTTTGAGGTGGGATAGGCTTCCCTGAAGAGATGAGTCTTTAGGGATCGCCTAAAGGCAGTCAACGTGGGAGATAGATGGACAGGTTGGGGTAAAGAGTTCCTGAGGATGGGAGAGACTCTAGAGAAGTCCTGGAGGTGAGAATGGGAGGAGTTGACAAGGGAGCTAGACAGCAGGAGGTCTTGGGAGCAGCAGAAGAGATGGTTAGGGTGACACTTAGAGACAAGGTTTGAGATATATCCGGGGACAGAGTTGTGGATGGCTTTGTAAGTGGTTGTTAATATTTGGAATGTTATCCTCTGGGTGAATTGGAAGGCAGTGTAGGGATCGGCAGAGGGGGGTGGAGGATGGAAGCTAGTGTAGGGGTTGGCAGAGGGGGATGGAAGCCAGTTCAGGGAATGGCAGAGGGGGTGGAGGATGGAAGCCAGTGAGCCAGTGCAGGGATTGGCAGAGGGGGGTTGCAGACACTGAGCGGTTGGTTAGGTGGATAAGTCTGGCAGCAGCATTCATAATAGACTGAAGGGGGGAGGAGCCTGTGTAAATAAATACATTTAGTAGCTAACAAAATGTTAGTGTGCATCAAGCCATCGGCTAAAAGAAAAATCACATATTATATTTATATCCTCAATTTATTATGCCGGTTGCTTGAGAGTGCCGGTTGCTTGAATACCGGATAATTGGGAGTTTACTGTATTGCCAAACTCATTTTTTTTACATGCTCCATTTGGTGTATATTGTGTGACTTTTCCACAAAGGTCGCCTTTTGCGATTTTTTTTTAACATTTGGAGCACAAATTACGTCTTCCTGTTCAAACTTGAATAGTTATTCCAGCTAACATCCCTATTGGCCCTTTACTGTGATTGGACAGTAACATTTACATCTCCAGAATAGAAATCACAAAAGATCTAATCGCTCCAATTCTCCGGCTGCGTTCATGCTGCATAGATCCCGCAGGTGCAGGCAAGTGGTGCGTGTTCACCATCAACGCATTCAGTCCTTAAACCGCCGCACTCCACAGGTCTCAGCAAATAACTCCAATCTTTATTGTAATCCAAAAGCGTGTAAACATCACAAACAAGCTCCCCAGACCAATCAGAACCCCTTCTAACATGTTTCACCGATGTGGCATATCCATAGAGGTCTATGAACAAGCCGTATAGGTGAAACGCATCAGTGGGGGGTTCCGACTGGTCTGATTAGTTTGTTTGTGATGTTTACACGCTTTTGGATTACAATGCAGATTGAAGTTATTTGCTGAGACCTGTGGAGTACATCTCCAGAACGTCATTCATTCCAAAGATGTGAACAGAGACAAAGCACAGTATGCGAGTGTCATTCCCGCTGCGCTTTGTTTTCAGTGGCAGGAGGAGGCAGGGCCGGGACAAGGGAGGGGACAGAGGGGGGATCTTGCAGAGTGGCAGCGGGGTGCTGCCTGGGATGCTCTCTGCGTTCCTCTGTACCCTGCACTAGGAAGCAGGTAGCCAGGGACAGGCGTACCAGTTCTTCTGTCAGGCAGAGGCCGAGTGATCTCTGCCCGACATGAATTAAAGTCCCAGTGAGAGCTGTGCCAGCTGCTGGAGTCTTCAGTCCACATTCATTCCCTGGGCTACCACTCTGCCAGTGCCACCAATGCAAGGGGGAGGGGGGTTAACAATACCACTGACTACCTAGCAATTCAAGAGAGATTGGTTTAATTAACCCCTTCACACTTGCATTGGCAAATGGTCAGTGACATTATAGAGGGGTGCATCGATACTGGTATCGGAATCTATACCAATGCCGAGTATTTGCTCCGATGCCTAGCCCGATACTTCTGGTACTTGTGATGAGTGAGCATAGAGCCGGCCAATCAGGAAGCTTGGTAATGACTCGCTGCTCGGCTTCCTGATTGGTTGGGAAGCTGGCCAATCAGGAAGCTGGGTGCCGTGTAATGACGCAGCGCCCGCTTTCTGATTGGCCGAGAAGCCGGTTTCATGCTCCCTCGTCACCTCATGACCAGGGAGCATTGAGCCGGCTTCTCGGTCAATCAGAAAGCAGTCGCCGCGTTATTATACAGCGCCCGGCTTCCTGATGGGCCAGAAAGCCGGTTCCATGCCTTCTCGTCCCCTAGTGACGAGAAGCATAGGGACGGCTTCCCTGCTAATCGGGAAGCCAGGTAGCGAGTCTTTAAACGCCGCCCAGCTTCCCAGCTAATCAGTAATGACTCGCCACCTGGCTTCCTTACTGGGACTTCTGGGTATCGGCGAGTACCCAAAAAAAAATATCGATATTCGTACTGTATACCGAAATACCGGTATGAGTGCATCCCTAGCAGTGGCGTCACAAGGGGGGTGCGGCCCGCACCCGGGTGCCACCATTGGAGGGGTGACACCAAAAGGACTTAGTCATTTTGGTGTCACCCCCCCTCTGAAAAGTCGGGCGCTCGGTCATGGACCGAACGCCCGACAGTATCAGGAGAGAGGAGGGGATAACTTATCCTCCCGGATGACTGTCCCCTCCTTTTTTGGGGGAGAATGAGTGGTGGGCCATTCATATGTAAATATCACAGTTGAAACAATTTTCACTGGGGGGCCAGTAGCCCATATCTCAATTTTGGTTGCCCCTGTCTGCCTGGCATCTTGTGTCCGGGTTTCTGCTTATCCTCCCGGATGACTGTCCCCTCCTTTTTTTGGGGAGAATGAGTGGTGGCCCATTCATATGTAAATATCACAGTTGAAACAATTTTCACTGGGGGGCCAGTAGCCCATATCTCAATTTTGGTTGCCCCTGTCTGCCTGGCATCTTGTGTCCGGGTTTCTGCTGCCATGAAACCTGGACACAGCATTCAAAACCTGGACTGTCCCGGTGAATCTTGGACAGGTGGTAACCCTACGGCCACCATGGTTCCCACAGACCTGGCAGAGAACCATGACAGTCTGCACATGCGCTGCAGATCCAGCGTATGTGCAGACATGCAGGTCCCTGAGAGACCCAAGGTATGTATATTCATGCACCAGATTCGCTATGCATGTGCAGACCTCCATTGGTTTATGCCATGTCTCATAGACCGTGGCGTGTTTGTGCATGTGTTGGATCTTTTTCAAGATGGTGTGGTGGGACCTGGCATGCGGTGGGGGATCAGCAGGACAACCCAGGATTTGCTGGTGGGTGGATGAGTATGCTATCTGTGCTTAACCCAGCACACAAATCAAGAGTAGGGTTGCTACCTGTCCGGGATTCACACGGACAGTCCGGGTTTTGAATGCTGTGTCCGGGTTTCATGGCAACTAAAACCCGGACACATGATGTCAGACAGACATGGGGCAACCAAAATTAAGATAGACCCTACTGGCCCCCCACTGGGAATAGTCTTGAATGTGATATTTACATATGAATAAACAGCGACTCATTCTCCCAAAAACATTTCCGTACGTCGCTAGTGTTTGGGTTTCGCTGAAAGAAAAGGTGA